GTCGCCTTTCGGGGAGCCCTTCTCACTCTTTTGGTCGTCGCGCTTGTGATCCATCTTCTCACCGCTATCATTCTTGGCTGGGCAATCGGGCGTGTTGTACAATTTCGAGCCACACTCGGAGCAACCCTTTCCGTTGTTGTCGCGCCCCTTGCCCTTGCCGCCTTTGTAGGTGCCACTCTCGCTCTCGTCGCGTTAATCCCAGGATTGACTGTCCCAACCGGAGCTCCAGTCTGAACTGTTCCAGTCGCCCTCGCCCCAGTAGGAGCCCCAATCGTCGCAGTCCTCGTCCTCGTCGCAGTCGTGTTCCCAGGTATCACCACCATAGAAGATTCCGTAATCATCTTGATGACCTTTGACTTGGTCCGCCTTCGCCATTCTGCTGAGTAGGCCTTTGATCTCTCCATATCCGTTGAGGCCTCCGTCCACCTTGAGCTTCACGTCGTCGATCTTCTGCTGTGGTAATTCACTATAGCTCAGTAGGAGGTGTGATCGTCCAATAGCATTTATCTCCAAACCTGCCGTGTCCGAAGCCTCGTCATAGACCATCTCGAAGGCTGCGACATACTGGGCCAGATCGCGCTGGCCTCTTCGAAACGCGAAGAACTTGTCCAGATGAATCGTCACGTTGTCTTGTTCATGAAGTCCATATTCCTGTCCAAGCCATCTCGTGAACAAAGTGAGCCCACTTGGAGCTGCCTCTATCGGTGGGTTCGCCGCTGGTTGTGCTGGAATCGCTGGCAATGCGAAAGCGTTCTCGCCGATATAGTTGAGTCCGTCGCGCTCCACCGTGAAACGTAGTGCCTGCTTGCGTACTCCGCCCTGGAGCCGACTCAGTACCAGCAGCGCCGCGATAGCATCGTCCGTCTCGTTCTTCGTACGCCACCACAGAGAAAGGTTCTGCAGGTACTTGCGTACAGAATATCTTGGTATTCCAGGCCTCCAACCTGGCGGTGTATTCCGTGTATATTCTTCCAGGGCCCGGGTACCGTTCCATGGCTGCACCATCTTGTTTGCTGCGAGCTCCTTGCCAATCGGATAATCGTGAACTTCACCGTGTGTGTGTCACCGTCGCTTTGAGTGGAGTATTCGTGAACTTTACCTGGTATGTGTGTCGCCGTCGCTTTGAGAGGGGGATTCGTGAACTTTACCTGGTATGTGTTGATCACGCTGACTCGCGTTGAACCACTGCAAATCGGATGATATATCAAGTCAAATCTCTGGGTCTGGGTCCTGGTGATAGATGTCCAGGTGCGTGTCGTAGTCGAACACGTGGGTGTTGTAAGTCAACACGTAGATCTCGAAATAGTCGGAGACAAGGGTGATATTCCTGATCACCGTCGTGAAATTCGTTCAGTATTCGTTGTAAATGTCGCCGCCGAGATATGGCCTGTGGCGACGCGCGCGCGCGGGGCCAGACGCTGCGTTGCAAAAGCAGAGATCCTTTATACTTGAGCCGTGGTGCACGTACAGCGTACACACATGTCTCTCAGTCCAGAAGGCAAGAGCTAGCCGGGGCTCATCACACCCAGAATCTTCGGTCCTCCTCCCTCCTCCCTCCTCCTCCCTCCTCCCTCCTCC